CATACAGTAGTGTTAGTACTTGGTTGTAGTTCTGAAGACAAGTTGAATCTGGCTGTTGTGATCTAGCATCATCTTTTTTTTTTTTTTAAGATTTATTTATTTATTGGAAAGGCAGACGTACAGAGAGGAGGCGAGACAGAGAGGATGATCTTCCATCCCTGAGTGGCATGTGCTGCACTCATCCAGAGCCAGGAGCCAGGAACTTCTTTCCGGGTCTCCCACGCGGGTGCAGGGTCCCAAGGCTTTGGGCTGTCCTCGACTGCTTTTCCAGGCCACAAGCAGGGAGCTGGATGGGAAGTGGAGCTGTAGGGATTAGAACCGGCACCCATATGGGATCCCGGGGCGTTCAAGGTGAGGACCTTAACCATTATGCTATTGCGCCGGGCCCTGATCTAGCATCATCTTAACAAAGACTTTTTGTTTTATAATCTCTAAAGACCCATTCAAGAGTGTAAGTGCTTAGAGCTTTTGGATAAACCATATAGATAAAATTTTAACGTGAAGAAAACTGACATTTTAAAATAATGACGGCAAAAGAAAAATCAGATAGCAACATTGGATTTTGATCACTTTATGAAAGTCCATGATACCCTTTTTCATCATGCTATCAGAAGCTTCATTAGTGGAAAATAAACCAGATAATGTAATAAAGAAACCAAATATGACTTTTAGTACCTGCTGAGCATGAATTTTATCTTTTGTGGAATGTGAGTAGTTGTGATCACATTTTATATTTCATTTAAGGCTAGGGGCTAGCATCCCTGAGCTGAAGATTAATACAGAAATTAAAAGCAGAAATGTGCTTTTTGGACAGCACAGGCAATCAGGCTTAGGAATCATCTTTTCAGGTCACAATTCCCTTTTGAAGAAGCAAATCACCCTCTAAGTCAAAGAATGGAATTTCCCATTATCCTTATGTTCTTGCCAGTATTGAACAAGTTCTGTACTGCAGGAACCTCATCTGACAAGATTGATTGTGCCCAAGTAGTGGTTTTTGTACACATTCCCCTAGTAGTTTGGACAGAACGATTAAATTTCCATGTGCAAAGGAAGTGCTCAGGTCACTCATACATGCAGTTAAGTCTAGATTTTCTTTTTAACATCTGAAATGTAGAATTGTGTTAAAAACGATCCCAGGATGCTTAAACTAGATTTTTTTTAAATTGGAAAGTCAGATTTAGAGAAAGAAGGAGAGAGAGAAGAAAGATCTTCCATCTGCCGATTCACTCCTCAAGCAACCACAACTGCCAGAGAGGTGACCTGGAGCCAGGAGCCAGGAGCTTCTTCCAAGTCTCCCATGCAGGTGCAGGGTCCCAAAGCTTTGGGCCCTCCTTGACTGCTTTCCCAGGCTGTAAACAGGAAGCTGAAAGGGAAGTGGAGCAGCTGGGATACAAACTGGTACCCAAATGGGATCCTGGCCCATGTAAGGCAGAGACTTTAGACACAAAGCTGTCGCACCAGGCCCTCAGAGTAGAACTTTAAAAAAAATGTATTTGTGACCTGGATTGAGTTCCAGGTTCCCAGTTCTTGCTAATGACAGACTTTTGAGGAGTAAACTAGCAGATGGAAGATCTCTCTGTCTCCATGCCTTTCAAATAAAATGAAAACAGATTTTTTTAAAACAGGTTTTTAAAATACCTATATATATTTTATATATGTATATATAATATATACACATATGTGTGTATATAAAATACATATATATAACATATGTATATGTTATACAAACACACATAAAATGGAAGTAACTTTTATTTTAGCTAAATTCTACTAAACTTGAGTTTCAGGATCTCTAAGTGTATGATCTATATCATAGTTTATTTTTAATAATTCTGTGATAAATCACTTTTGTGTTAAAATCCATAATTGAAAAGCTAATCTAACCAGAGACTTTTGTGGCCAGCAGACCCTGGATTTACTGCATTTGAGGTGGGACCGTGTGGTAATAAGCTTCTGCTAAGTCAGCATTCTCTTAAGCCACAAAGAGCAGTTCTAGGTCATATTCAGTGGTTAGGCTATCGAAAGTTTCTGATTTCTGTATTCTAAAATATTTTTTAATGTGCTATGTATACATATTGTAGAAGAATTAAAAAAACTTGTTTTTATCTACTCTGTACATTCTAATACTTTGTTAGAGATTAAACTGTGAAAATAGCAAACTATTTTCACCAGAAAAAAAATCCTGTCTTTCTCATTTTTCTCTAATGTTTAGTATTTGGCGCATCTGTCTTGTAAACATCTGTGATTCCTCTATGCCTAGCTTACATAACTTGATATGTAATGGCATATGCATGGAGTAATAGCGAGTTGTAGAATATTTCAGGATTCCTAGCTGGCTTTCAGAGGCGGGGAGCATGACTTTTTGTGGCATTGGTGTTTACTTTTAGGCTGGATTAATACTTTGGAGAATTGGAAGTCAAAGGAATGTAATTGGGTCCATGTCCATATTGAATGATCTAGGTCTAGAGCGAGAATAAGTTTCAGTGGCTAAATATCACTTTTGTGGTGCTCATTTATTCTCCCCTAATCCTATACATGTTGTGCTACATAAAAGACAAGCTATCACTTTTTTCCTTTTTTGTTAAAAGTTTTATAGATATTTAAGCCACCGCTGTATGGCTGTGTATGGATTGCGTTACACTTGTACAGATCAGTATAATCAGCTAATTTCTGAATAGCTAGCAATGCAAGTAAGGATTGTACACATTTTTCTCCTTATGCTTCAAATATTTGACTTAAACTGTTAAGTAAAAACAATGATTTTTGATTTTTTTTTTAAGTGCATAAGCCAAGATTGCTGGCGCAGTTTAAATTTTGTTATCGATAGCAGAGAAGCCGACAAACCCCTGCCACCAAGGAGTTAAATTGTTTCATCAAGTATGTTTTTGAGGATCCACAGCTATGTTGGCCTATCCTGCCTTTTTTTTTTCTCTTTTAACTTTCTAGTTCACTAATCAAATATATGTTAGATTGATTATTATAAAAGTGTAAACCATAGAAAATTTGACAAGATAGATGTGTAAATTATCCTTCTGACAGGACTAATGATGCACTCCAAGCACCTTCTGTTTTCCAGCGCTTGGTGAGCGACTTCATTAAATATGCAGTGACTGTTGGGTGCTTCTCAGATGATGGTTCAGTTCCTTGTGGGATTGCATTATTACAAGAAGCGTAAAACCAGGCAGACAAGCTAGCTGTTGGGCATCCTGCTGAGGTTCTAATGTGCTCCATCTTGTTGGAGCAGTTGTTTGCAGTCTTTTCAGGACAATTACACCCATACCCACAGGAAGCAGCCAGTGAAACTATATTACAGATAACAGTGGAGACTGGCTTTGCTGGCTCTTCATCCCTCTGCTCCAGCTGCCTCAGTGTGGGTAGCTTTCAGCGATAAAGTACTGCTGCTATACCACTCACAGCACACGTGCTGGGTTTTTTAATCCTGAAAAGTAAACCTGGAAATTTTTAAACCATACAATATTAAGAGTTAAAAGGACTTTTTAGATCCTATATCCATTTGTACATGAGAAAATTGAGGCAGAAGCAGAGTTCCCTGAGGGAGACAGAAGGTTTTGGCTGAGCATTTCTTTAAGTGGTGTAGATTGCATAAGTAAGAATTTGTACTGTTGAGCTTCTCTTTTAAAGGTTTATTTTAGCAATTTCCTTAGTTTTGAATTTAAGATGTTTTTCTTCTTTTTTTGAACTGCATTTTCCCTCTTTTTAATACAATAGGTTGTTTGTTTCTAAAACCCACACAGAAATATTCTGCTTTTTGAGAATATCATAGTTTATTATTTTGATGGCAGTTGGATAGTTTCTTGGCAAGCTGGACACAAAAGATGGTGTGGGCTGAGCTTGAACTGGCAGTTAAGGTTTCTGAAAGGCAGATGCTGTGCTGCGTCACTGCAGCCTGATAAATGGGATTGCATTTTAGAGTGACAGCTTGAGCACTTTAATGAAAAAGCCCTCCTACTTCAGTTGGCCAATTAAATTACTGTTGGCGACTTTGGATCATTAATGAACCTTTGTGGAAAATGACCATTTGAATTCAGTTATTGTAATAATGCATTTATTTGAGAAATGCTAACTGTGAGAACTTCTAGCTCTTAATTTAAAAATGTACCCATTTTGCCTTAAGTCAGTCAGCATAGTACTTTGGTTTTTATTGGTAAATCAAGTTGACAACTCAGAATTCTTTTACAAATTAATATATATCCTTTCTTAGAAAAAATTATATCTGGAGAAGTTAGATTTTGAATGAATGTCTTTTAAAATATGATTTACACTACTAACCATATGCGCTTCACTATTCTTAGAATAAATTAGCAAGAATTAGAAACCAAGAATGGGGACATTATGTAGTATTTAAGAACAAACTATTAAGTTTAAGATGGATTAGGTTTATAATTCATTTAGTGCCAAAAAAAAAATCTGTAATCTGTTAAAGCAATTGGGAGGAGGTAGTACTTGAGAACATGCAAATTTGTTTAAAAATACAGTGTAAAGAGAACTGAAATGGAAATCTTTGTAACTAGATTGTTCACGTCTTACCTTAAAGCTTTTGTGCTCCTTTAAATAGTTAGTGGTACTATATTCTGTAATTTTTGCTCTCCTTACCCACCAGTTTGGTGTTAAGATTTCTTAAGCTCATTTTCTTTGAAAGTTAGGCATATTCGATAGTTAAGAAGGGGTGGCTTTGCAAATGCTTGTTTTTCTCCTCTTATTTGTAAAATGGGCTATAATCTCAGTGCAAGCTTCTTTCAATCTCCATGTCATAGTTTACAGAGAAAGGAGACAGCGTGGAGCATAGACTTCCCCTGGGAATACGTTGAGCTTAATGAGCTTGATAGTCTGGTGGGCTCAATAAATCAAATAAAGCAAAACATTTCTCATTTTTGAATAAAAGCATTTATCACACAGTGTTTGTTCACTCGTGGTCACAAGATTGATTGGTTCCCAGCATCCTGGTGTATATTGAAGCATTTTTGATTTTGTTTTTCCAGTGGGCAAGTTACGGAAGCAGTGGCTAAAGGAAAGCATCTCTGACGTCGGCTTTGGGATGCTGAAGTCTGTCAAGGAGTACGTGGACCCCAATAACATCTTTGGAAACAGAAACCTTTTATAAAATCATTAGAATCATTATAAAAATGTCATTTTTTTTTTAAGTCTTCAACTATGGTTATACCAGTAATCAAATATATCATGGACTATATTTTGGCTACATTCGTTTGTTGGTTTAAAATAAGTTTGTTTTCATTCTGTAGTTTGTTTTGTTTCCACATCTGCGGATTGACAGGTGGTATTCCTAAGTCTCTCATTGTAGGTGCATCAGTTTACAGCCAACTGGTTGTCATTTCAAACATTAAGCAGCTCAACGCTGCCAGTGATTTCAGAGAAAGTTGCTACCAGCTCTTTTGTATTGAAGCTTCTTCTTGGGGAACAAAGGCAGATTTTTATATCATCTGTTGCTTATCTGGCCTCTTAGAAAAACGTTTCTAGAAGCAGGTACATAAGGAAGGATTCCACTGAGGAATGTTATGTGTGTAACTCTGTGTGTGTGTGTGTGTGTGTGTGTGTGTGTGTGTGTGTGTGTGTGTGTGCGCGCGCGTGCATGCACAAATTGTCGTGTGAGTACAGTTCAGGGAGGATGTTGATGAAAAAACATAGGCAACCTATTGTTTAGGACTCAATTAGTTCTGTAAGGTGCTTGGCCTACAGTTTTCTTTGAAATAGTATACACTTATAAATCAACAGTGTACTAATTACTCTGTTCTCCTAAGTTCTGTTGCTACTGATGGGAATGGCTGTATTTGTATCACTGAGATAACCCAGGATCATATCCTACTTCACTCATGCTGTATTTCGTGAGAGAAGCTGACTTACCATCATTGTCTGTGAAGGGCAGGTTTACCATGAAGTGAATGCCCCCAGTTAAGCTAGCATCTTCATGTTCCTGATTTTCCTTTCTTGTTGCTGAACTGCAAAAGCAGCTATCACAGGAGCACAAGGAAGAGCCCTTACACTTAACGTCTCCAGCTGAAAAAATTGTTTGGCTAAAGAACAGTTGTTGTTCAGTTATTAATTTTGAAAGCCTAGACAATTTCAATAACAAAAATCTTTTTTTCAATTAATCCAAACAGCATGATACATTTTAACATAAAAGTTTCAATTTAGTTTTTAATAATGATTGAATACCTTTTTTGAATTACTGGTTTAACCTAAACTTTAAAAAAATGTAATGTATTAATGCATATACCATAATCAAAAGTTTGAAATATCCTGTTTCTTAAAATAAGAACATTAATCACATTTAGCAAACATTTTTACATCCAAACCTGGATATTAAAATAAGTCAAATGATTACTTTGAATCACTGTCTGTCAGAGTTCATGATTCACATTTTGAGATGGGTTCTTTTCTTAATGCAATACCTAACTTTTGATAATTTTTTAAAATTAATATTTGATCAGTCAAAATGCAGACAAGCCTTTTAAAGGATGCAACGTCTGTCTATGTAGCAACAGCTCCAAAGTCTTTTTGGGCCGTTTGATACCTTTTGTATTTAAAGTAGCCTTAACCAGAAAAGTAAAAATTTAAAATTGACCAAGCGATATTTTTAAGACTTCAAAAGGATAATTTTTAATCATTAAAATTGGCCTCAAGCTAATAAACTTAAATCTGTGAGCAAATCAAAATTAAATATTAATCTAGCAACAAAAACTAAATATTTTATTTTTTAGATGCTGCCTCTCTTCATTGATGATTTATTTTTAATTATAAAATGTCCAGCAAATCTTTGCTTAAAGCCCTTGATATTTGAAATCATTTGACACTTGATGAGGAAATTGCCTATAGAATTCTAGAATTCTCATCTTTCTAAATTCATCTATTTATGAAGGTATTTTCTCTAAATGGTGATCAAAATGTAAAATGTCACAAGGTACTAATATCTCACTGAAAGTGTGTACGTGTTTTTGAGTAGCTTTTTTTTTTAATAAAACAAATTCATAAGCAGATCCATCCTTTGCATGTGATTGTTCCATTCTTTCCCAGGGAGTTCAGATTTCAATGACCTCAGCAATCTGTTTTTAATATCAGGAAGCTGAAATCCTTGTGTTCACTGTTGTTCAGGAATTATGGAAATTGCTTATTTTCCGTAATTTCCTTGTGGAAATTACTGCTTTAGGTCTATTTTTTTCCCCATGTAAGCAGGACTCACCAACTTGGATTTTATAGAGGTGACTACATTTTATAGTTAAAATCATTTCTACAGGGATCACTTTGAAACACAAGAACATTCATCTGTACTGTTTTCACTCTGATTTAGTAAATCAGAAAGCCTTTCCCACTTTCACACACCTACTTCTAGGAGGTGCCTCGGTATAGACTTATTGTCTGTGGAGGACTGAGCTCATGAATATGCACAGAAGCACTTAAACCACGCCTCTGACTTCTAAAGCATGTGATAATGGCTTCAGAAAAATTAAAACCAAGAGAACGCTGTTTATGTGAGGCTTCTTAACTCACATTGAATGTGTTTATTTAAAATTTTTAAAGTTGTAGCCTATTTAGTTTTGAGTGTTGTATAACACTGACTTTCTTAAATTGTCATATTTATAATATTTTACTTAAATTGATGATGTCACATTTGGGTTGGGGTTTCCCTGGGAACGGGGACTTGCTGCTAGTGATAAATGATTTTGAATACTAAAGACAATATGAACAGGCTTTATTGACCCCTAGAGAAACTGTTGCCTTAATGTTTGGTGCAATTTATAGTAAGTAGTACGTAAGTGAATTTTTACTAACTTGGGCAAAGTAACTTGAGCTTTTTTAGTTTAGTAAGAAAGAGTTATGAGAAGCCACATGGTTATTGTGCTCAGGATTGTACCACAAGCAAAGAGGATTAAATTCTTTCCTCTTCTGAGGATTTGGGAGCTTTTTTTTTTTTTTTTCCTTCTGAAAGTGTTTACCTATTAGAGTACTGTTACTTAAACATGGTTATGAAATTGGAAGCCTTCTAGCGTGCATAAGTTAATACATTTGGGAAAACAAGCACAGTAAAGGATGAGCTTCCATCAGTGTATTATACCAGACAGATGGTTGCAAGGACACCTTTTTATTGTCCCACAATACTGTACAAATAATTGCTAAATCCTTGGTAGCAATTTTGAAAATGCCTTTCAGCATGTCAGCCCCAAGAGATTTTCTGTTACTGTATTCTTTCACAGCTTCTTAATCATGGTTGATCAGAGAAGCTCTGTGATCCTTTGGCCTTTCAGATGATGCTGGTTTTGATTGAGCTTACTAACCGTGGGTTGATTCACAAACTCCATGTGCTGGAGTTTGAGGCAGTCACATGGGATATTGCGAGAGGCATATCTGTATTTTAAAAACCACTGAGATAGGAAATAAGGACAGGTTTGATTACTTTTGGTTTACCATCTAATCTTTAGCAGCTTTGGTTGTAATCAGGGCTTGACAATTACCAGTTGTGGATTAGACTCTGTACTGTTCCTCCTTCAGCTTCATGAGCTATGGAAGTGTGGCTTTGCTCAAGGCTTCTTAATCCCTAATGAGCCATATGTCAATCTAGTCATTCAGTTCTCACTAACTTGTTTCCTAAAGTGGAAACAATTTACACATTCATGTTGAAATCCAGAAAGTGTAAAAGGTTTACTTTTAATGTTGAAATATGGTGTCTGATATGAAGGATGTAAGTTTACCCAGCTTTCTGTTCCCTAAGCCAAACAGTGTTTGTCTTCAGTGTGAACTTTAACTGTACAAATTACTTGTAATGTCAAGAGATTATAGAAACATTCTTAATAAAATGGACCTGGGTCTAAAAATTCTTTTTCCTTTAAAGGGAGTGTGAAGCGGTTTATTATTCTCTTTGTATATGGGCTTTTCTTTCAACTTCAGTTTTTCATCTTCCTGTTTCCATTGATTTGAAAGTAGAAAATTATTTTTATAATTTTATTGATGTAGTGTAAACAAATACAACTTATAAATCCCTTTGATTCTGTCAACTGAAAATATTGTTCACCAGGTTTTATCAGTTTCTAAATATTTTTAAAGTCAATATTATATTCCCAGGAGCTGTTTAGTCTTCTATGAATCTGAAGCATTTCCTTTTAAACCTTGGAAGATCCTGAAAGAACAGCACTATTGTGCCCTTCGAACCACAGCAACTCATTTCTGAAACAAGAGTAAGAACCCCTGATATACAGAACATTCAAACCAAAGAATTGTCACAGACTTCAGTAACTTCACTTCTGTCAACATGAAAAATGTTTTTCCGTTTCCAAGGGAGATTGTTTTATATTTTTTTTTCATTTGAAGAAAAATAATATATCATTAAGAACATTTCAGGAACCCTGAATTTTCAATCTGAAAGGGAAGGAAAAAGAGTTTGTTTACACATACCATGTTTTTAAGGCATCATAGTGTTTTTCATGAATATCACACGTGTCGCATGAAACATGTTTTTAATTCTTAAAAGAATCTGACATATCCCAAAAGGATATAATACTTATACTGCTTTACAGTTTCCATAGTTGGTTAATTTTTGAGCAAACTTTAACAATATCTCCATGCCCCCCCCCCCCCCAAAAAAAAGAACTCACAGTGCCTTGATGGGATTTTCTTGCTTTCTTCCATGAATTAGCAATTTTAAATGGGTAGCGGAGGATAAGTCTCTACAGACAGTTATCAGTTCATGGCTATTCCTCTTTTAGAACATATTAGGAATTAAGTAGTTGTTTGCAGAAACGATGATAAGCCTTTCCACAATGTTGATTTGGATCCTCTTCTAACGTATCCAACTCCTTGTGTCGTTGACTTGCACCTGTGGAATTTGTACCTGTTTGCATTCCTGCATTTTCATTTCCTACCCAGCCTCATGGTCCTGAGGTGTGGCCGGGTGGATGTGGCACACTCACCAAGCACTGAGACGTTGTCCCCCTGCTTCTGGAGATGGGCTCCCGCTGCCCCCACCCCATGGAGCACAGCCTGGAAGCAGAGGTTCCAATCCTTATCTTGTGTGTCAGTCCTTTTTTGTGTGTGATGGTGCCTTCAGAATAATGAATATTTCTGTTCCTGGATAGTGATCAATAGTAGGAGATATTTGTGTAGGTGATACTAACTTTTGTCCTTTTAAGCCTGTGAAATACTTGGTCTCTGATACAACTTGAGTAATGTCTTATCCTGAGTCTTCCTCTAAGGCAGTACATACCCCTGCCAGTACTGTAGTAATCTTTTGGGAACTGCACATGGGTAAGCTCTTGTATGTAAGCCATGTACTGCTGTAACTGATGCATACAAACAATTCTCTTTACATTTACAGGCTAAAAGTGACATGTGGTAGGAAGGAAAATTCCTCAGAGATTCAAGCATAGCTTTGTCAATTAAGACTGAGCCATACTGTTTTCCACAAGGGCTCAACATAGTCTCTATTCTGTGCTTTCTGTGTATGTAGGATTCTGATTTTACTGGTTTTCGTAGACTGTTGTCTATTAAGCAAATGCCCATGTGTGATTTTTAAGATGTGCTGGGAACAAATAAAGCAGTACCAAAACCAGTCTTTGTTACAGAAATGGGTGTTTATTTCATCTTGATTCCCTTTTGTCTTTGTTGATACATCATGGTGGAGTCTGAGAAAATGGCATACACTCTGTACTCGTGAGTAGCCTCTCTGATAGTGAAAGGACTTACCTGCCTGCGGCTCCCATACTGGAAGGAAGGTTACATCCATCCCACCTCTGAAACAACTGAAGGCCCGGCCTTTGAATTCTGTCTTGCATAATATATTTTGATAATCACTAGCAACACTAAGTTTTTAGCTTTTCTATTAAAAAAAAAAAAAGCAGTTTCCTGGCCAGCTCATATAAGCTTAAACTTAATGAACCTTAGAGATCATCACGTTCTATTTCTGCTTTTTTCATAATTGCTGCCTAACAGTCCCTGTCCTCTGGCCACAGACACATAACCAGCTCTCTGAGTATTTGTTATGATCAACTGAGAATTGACTGCCTTTGCAGGAAGCTTCTTCGACTTGCAAGATCTTCAGGAATTAATACTTTTTTAGAAAATTAGACTGATTTCTGTTTCTTATTTCTAAATATAAATACAACTTCTGCTCTCTGCAGTCATAAGGAATTGTCCCATTGCTTGGATGGTAGGCAGTCCTTCAGGTATTTAAAGATGTGTCTCTTGGTCCCCTGGATCCTTCCCAGTCAAATTTTGTGTCCATCATTTCTACACCCTCCTGCATTCTCATCCTCTGTATATACCTGTTTGATGTTTTACAAGTGAGAAGTACAAGCCTTCAGGAAGCACCCATGCCCAGTCTGGTCACTACCAAAGGCTTGTTTGGTGGGCCATTGCATTGTTACACTAAAGTTGAATGTAACAAAGATAGTCTCTTCTGTGTGTGACGTTTTGAGCATATATCCCCAGATGCTGATTTTTAAAAATTATCCATTTGAAAAACAGAGTCACAGAGATGTAGAGAGATCTTTGATTCCTGTTTCACTTCCCAAATGACCACAGTAGCTGTGACAAACAGGCTGAAGCTGATAGCCCAGACTTATCTGGGTCTCACATGTGGTTGATTGGAACCCAAGCACTTGGGCCATCCTCTACAGCCTTCCCAGGAACATTAACAGGGAGCTGGATCAGAAGTATAGCAACCAGTACTTGAACATGTGCCCACATGGAATACCACTATCACAGGCAGCAGCTTAATCCACTGTGCCACAGTGCCCCTCACCCCCTCTTGAGGATGATTTATTAAAAGCCTCCATTTTGTCTAGTTGTCTTTACTAAAATTTATTTCTCAGGTTTAGTGCCTGATTTCTTAAATTTTAGGGTATTGATTCTTGGTACTGAATTCAGTAATACCCCTGGAGCCAGGAGCTTCACTGAGCCACACTGCTTGTGCTCTGTAGCCATTAAGTTTACAACATTTCTGCTTTTTAAAGATTATTAGTATCTTTTACAAAATGGCACAAATGGGAAAATCAAGTCTTCTCCAATCACAAAGTGAGAGCTGCTGTCTTTGTGCCTTAGCACTACAGCAATGCCAGAGTGCCAGAGATGCTTTTATCTTAAACACTGTCTTTCCTGCAGATGTTTAAGCCAAAATGACCTGCACTGATGAGTTTTTAAATAAAACTCATAATGGAAGCACCTTATCTGATGGACCTAATAAATTTGCACTTTAGGACACCTAGAAGACAACCTATTTCTGTAAGTCATACATCATCTGTAAAGAGACTGGCAATCGAAAGAACTATTTTAAAAGTTTTAAAACATTTTATTATAAGCTAACGACAAAGTCTTTGAGGAATTACGGTGCCATATAAAAATTAAGGTCTGCTGAAGGATTTTGGACTGCATTAGGGAATTCTAACAGTTGTATTTGTGAGGTTGAAGTCTAACATTAGTGAAAATAAGTTCAAAGATTATGCACATTTTCCATAAACCTTTTTAAGTCGTAGCTTATATTTAAAGTTTAAAATCTTGGTGGTAAAAATTTGGTTATGTAGCCAAGTAAAAACCAAGTTCTGGCTCATTAGAGAAATTTGCTGTTTGGCTACAAAATACCCACATGTCATTTTAGTCCTAGAGCAGGTCTAGATGAGAAACACTGAATGGTGATACAGTCTGCAAGTCACACTATTGGCAGGAAGTTCCTGGGACAGCAGGGCAGAGAATACCCTCAGAAAGCACAACCTCTCAAATACTTCCAGATTGCCATTAACATGAAGGAATCTAAAACTAAAAGCAATCTGAAGATGTTGATGTTCACCTGAAATGAAAGATACTTCTTGGTGATGTTGGCTTTTTACAGTTAGGTTCTTTAGATTAGCCACACTTTTCCTGGAGTCAGGCTCTCAACACTAACTCTTAATGTAGAAATGAGCGCAGGCAAGGACCATGGGGCAAAGCACTGAGAGACATAACTGCCTCAGAACTTCTCCCCAATGCATTCATGCTTTACTGAATCTCACATTCCTTAATCAGTTTATTTATTTAGGCATCTATCTCATAGCCCTGAATAAACAAATCATTCAAACCTTGAGCAAAAGCTATCTCAGTTCTTTGTGGCTTCTGTGTCAGGAGCTCCTCCAAATCTAGTATATGTGGATGTCTGGAAAGGAAGCTCCCATGATTACTGCTGTCTCACTGCAGATGACCCGACTCCATCCCCACCCAGTCCTGCTGGTTCCTGGTTGTTTGTTATCTTAACCACTTCTCATTGATGGGATTAAGGCCAAGATCATGCCAAAGCTGAGGTGAGATTCCAAAAGGAACAATCATGAGGAATATAAATTCCTTGGCAGGGTGTCATGCCACTGATAAGAGTATCTGTTTGGTGGTTCTACTTATTAGGATCAAATTCTTTGAGAAAACAGATACAGTTTCTGTGTACAAACACAAGCTCATGTTCTCTCTCTATATAAATATATATATATATACGTGCATGCATGCATGTAGACCAAGGGGTTGTCTAAAATTATGAAATACTGGGTTTAGTATTTGATCCATTAAGGTTTTTTTGATACTAAGAAATTTAATAGTAAAAAGCTTTAGAAATATAAAAACTCAATTGAAGGTCAAATTATTTTGAGCAATTAATGCAATAGGATAGGGATGATGATGAACTTTTTCTCTGCCAAGGGTCATTTGGATAGTTATAATATCATTTACAGATACTACTAAATTAATAATTTAAAAATTAACTTGCTATGGATTTATTGCATTCCAGCCCTACCTATTGTTTGCCTTGGCAGGGCCAGACCAAATACCACTTGCAGACTGAATGCTCTTCATCCCTGCTCGGGGATGATGCAACAAGGCTTACCATCAGAAATGTTAAGATAGAAATTTCATTCAGAAAACAAAATAGGGGGTCATTCTAAAGCCACTTACTATTTTGAATCAAGAAGCAGAGTACTTTGAATATGAACTTTTAGAAAGATGTGTATCCTGAAAGTAAAGGATGGTCAGTGCCTGAGGAGCTATAAGTGCCTTACTTGGGACCAACATGCTGGTTTAGCAACCTAATCTTCCACCTACAATACCAGTATCCCATATGGGCAGCAGTTTCAGTTCCAGCTATTGCAATTCCAACTCAATTACCTGTCAAAGGCTTGGGAAAGCAGAGGGGGATGGCTCAAGACCTTGGGCCCCTGAACCCATGTGGGAGACTCAAAAGAAGCTCTCGAGTCACAGCCTTGGACAAGTTTAATCATGGCCATTAGTGGCCATTTGAGGAGTGAGCCAGAGCAAAGAAGCTCCCTCTCTCCTTACCTCCCATTATTCTTTCAAGAAAATTTTAAAAAGAAAAAGAGAAATAGAAATGCCTTCACTGTCTTAGCCAGGTTCCTCAGGGCTCGGCACAAGGCCTGTAGACTCCGTGTGTGGCTCAGGAGACTTTGCTGTTGCCAAAAGCCATCTGAATCCGGGTGGAGAGCCAGGAACGAGTGCCCTTTGTTCCTGCATTCAGTGGTAGCAGCGGTCGGGATTTCCTGGTGCATACTAATGGCAGGAAAACCCCAACTGCCCAGCAGCAAAGGGTTAAAAACTATTCTGGAAAGCATCTCATGTTCTGAGAAGCTAAATTACATATATATACACATACAAATAAACTACAACTACATAGCACCTGGGTAAACAAATTGTGGCCAAACAAAGGCCACACCATTTGCAAAAGGGAATCTAGAAAACATTTGCTTTTGGGAAGTTTGTATTACTTTTACTTTTTTTTTTTTTTTAAACAAAGTAGTTTGGTTCGAAGGAAATAGGAACAAAATACAATATTAATGTGGTTGTTGAAAATGAGATTTCAGTTCTTCTCAGAAGCAAAGGAGTTATAGAGACAGAGGGACATAGAGCTACTACAGCATCATTTTTAGTTCAGAAGTTAACACTTTCCAGAAAAAAATGTGGCTCTGGGATACACTGAAAATTTAACATTGATTGTTTTCCCTCTATGGGGTTAAAGCATCACTAGTGATGGTAGTTCAGAAGCTCTTGAATTCCAAGCCATTATAAGCCATATTTTCTAATCCAACTGAACAACCAGAAAGGCATGCTACAGAGGAACTATGCCAAACATACTTCACCTGGGTATTGTGTGGCTAAATGGCTTCTCCCTGCAGGCAAAACATCATGACATTAGGGCTGTGGGTCCCTATAATTTAGAGGAAATCTATTAAGTTGGAATCACAGAACTTTTCAGTTTTTAGGTAAAAACTTATATAATCAGAAACTAATCATTCAAGCCAGTATTTTTTATTTTTTCTAAGTGAGATCAAGCTGGGATTCCATGCACAAAGTGAAAGGAGTGAGGAGCAGAGACACAAATATTAAAGCTCTGGCAGAAAACAAAATGCCTGACTACAATGAGTGAGGTTCCCAGTGTAAACAGAAAAAATAAAAATAACAAACAAAAAACTGAAATTGCAGTTCAGAAACTAATCTTGACTAAGAGATAATGACCTTTTTGTTAATTATAGCATAGGGAAAATATCAGGTGGGGTAAGAGTAATGTAGCCACTGGATTACAATTCAGAAACAATTGTAGCATACCCTAAATTACAGAAAAACATAAGATACCAGCTTTTAGTGCCTGCGTTATTAGTCACTATTAAAAATACATGCAAATCAAATTATGAAAAACACCAATAGCACTTCTTACTTGTATATTCAAACTTACTAACAAATGCAGCAAAAGAAACCCATGGAATTATGTTTTTGTGATAATTGTTTTCTCTGTTTATAACTTTGTTAAGGATATACAATTTCCCAATCAATCCTGCACATTAAAAAATTCATTTATAGCCTAAAGAATCTTGATGACATAAAGAATTATATTGCACTGGAAATGCTACCAAATATTGTAAACCCATATAAAGCATATGCATTGAAAATTAGCATATGAATGAGGGTGATCGTTTAGAACACACACTCCCTGAAATAATTATTAAACACCAAAGTCTTATGCATTATTTACTACTGATTTCTGGACCTGGTGATATCCACTACCAACTGGTGTCATCCTTGTGCAAGGGCCCTTTAAAAGATGAGTGAATGAAAGCATAAATGGAAACAAAGGAGGGGCCGTAAGAATCACAAGTACTATCAGAAACAACATTCTTTATCAGTTTTGAATATTTCATAGCTCCAGCTGGAGAAAAATTTGTACAATATTTCAATGTGTTCTGTACTTAAAACTCAAACTTTTATCTAACATTTTTGTTATAATGCTAATGAGTACAAAATGCAACATATAACAAATATAAAGATGCCACAAGCTAAGTACAAATAATATAGTGCAAGATTTACAAAACAGAAGCATAATAAAAGCCATTATTATCCATTACTAAGTATTCCAGCCTATGATCTCATAAATCAAAGCTCTTAGCTGCCTGGATTCATATGTGACTGTGTTCTTTCCAATATGCATTCTTTCTTCTTCCAGGGGTTGTTCTATAACAGCAGGTATGTTTCTACCGTAAAGTTCACAGTTCTCTAGAAACTGAACACATTCTTGAATGACACTGTCGCGTAGCATGATTGTGTGTTTTGACATGTTTTCTAATAAAGACAAGAAACATCTCTTAGCATAATACCAGGTATCAGTGCCCAGTTTTTTATTATAAGGTTCTAAGCTTTTGATCACTCGAGAAATGCCAAAATCGTAATTTCCTTTGGCACAATACAGTGTTCCTATCACCAGATTCACAATGCACAGATGATAGGTTTTCTTATCTGGGTCATCATAGGAGAGCTGCTCTTCCTCTTTCTCAATCTTCCTCATCAACTCTTCAGCCTCCTCATTTTGACTTGTCATAATGTAGGAAACACACAGGTTCGCTAATACAACAGCGCTGACATTGAGGATGTTATCGTAATGCTTCTTGACTATGGGCTCATAAAACCCGATGGCTTCTTTGTACTTGTTTTCCTGCATGAACAGAACATGAGCGACATTCAGCTTCCACACGTCGTGGTCGTTACAGAACTCCACAGATTTGCGGAAGATCTTCTCCACCATCGAGTAATTCTCAAGGTTCCAGTAGATTTTTGCCTGAGCCATCAGCACGGGGATGTACTTCTCCAAGGTGTCGTCGTACTCATTCACTGCCTTTTTGATCCCTTCATCGTCTCTGCTGTGTCTTGCTTCCTGTACTTGTATGGTGAGTTTGCGGAGCTGCTCTGTCAGCATCCCTGCCAGCCCGTCTAGCTTAACGAAGGCTTCATCGGGAGCTGTCTGGCAAGTGATCATGGCATCTAAAAAGTCAAAGAGATAGGGCGTGAGGAACTTGTAGGTCAGATGGGCATTTTCTGCCAGGACATCTGCAGCCAGGTCAAAATACTCGTATTTACAGTAGAGCAGCAGCAGGTTGCCGAAAGTCTCTGGCGGGAAGGGGTTCTGTTGAAGCAAAAACTGGAGCTTCTCAAAGCCTTCTGTGGGCTTGGCATCCATGTTCATTAGTGCCTGGTTGTGCAAGGTCACAGGGTCTAACTCCTCCTCTGACCTGGGGGGCATGTCGGTGAGGGCTTCCTGAGCAGCCTCATAGTTTCTCAGCTGGTATTCAATGGCTGCCTTGAGGTTGAAGGCTTCCACCAGGGCAGTCTGGTGCAGGACTAACGTGTTTCCAACACTGCGGACATCAATGCCCTCAGTGGTCATGCCCACACCTAGCTCTGGGTGCTGGCGGATGCCATGCTCAATAATGTCGGCGATATGTTTTAGGGCTGAGGCATACTGCCGGCTGCTGTAATAAGCCAAGGCCAGGTTGTAGGAAAGGTCAGGCCGATAGCCCGAGGCCTGCAGGGCAGCAAAGAACTTGGAAGACGCAGCTTCGTACTGTCCCTCCTTGTAGAGCAAACAGCCCAGGTTGACCTGGCCATCGGGATCATTCTCTCCGCCCCCGTCTTCTCCACCCTCACCACTGAGCAGCTGCTCCACCAGGCTCCTGGCGCCAGGCAGGTCGCCCTCGCTGTACTTGATGGCAGCTTGCAGCCGGAGCACCCGGTTGTGGTAGGTGGGGTTGTCCAGCAGGAGGAAGGCGACCCGGGTGGCCTCTGGGAAGAGGCAGGCCTTGTACAGGGCCTGGGCCTGGTACAGGCGGTACTGCTCGAGCTCTGGGTGCAGCTGGCTGAGCTGCTCATAGCACTCGGCGGCCAGCGCGAACTCCTGCAGGCGGTAGTAGCAGTAGCCCAGCAGGGAGAGGCCGGCGCGGCTCTTGGGGCAGCGCTGCAGCTCTCCGCCCAGCAGCTGCACGGCCTCGGCATACCGGGCATCCCGGATGAGCCGGTACACGACCGCCGTGAACTCCCCATCCGGAATCTGCGAGCTGCTCAGCCCCGCCATCTTTGCCAAACTGTCTGCTGTAACTCGTTACCGCGGCAACGCGGCCACCGGAAGCGGAAGTCTTTTCTGAATTGAATTTACCGCGAACGGAATCCCGTAAGAGAGAAAAAAAAAATTAACTGGCGTTGTCTCTCAGTTCCTGCTTTTTGTTACTTCGAAAAAAAAAAACTTGTTAGTACTGCGGGGTGGTGTCAGTCATACAAGGAAAGGAAACTCTTCCGGGACCTACCTTCCGGCTGGCGCCGTGCCCATGGTGGTGCCGGGGGGGGGGGGCGGTCCTGGCCGCGCAGCCTGCTGGGAGTTGTAGTCTCTGCCTCACAGACCTCAGAGCTTTGTGGAAAATGGGGCCTCACTCAGGTCCTGTTCGCGAGGAGGTCCATTAGCCTTTTCTCGCGTGTCTTTTTGGTCCCTCGTGCGGTGGGAAGAAAGTGAAACGACCAGTGCGGTAAAGCGGATTTTTTCCTTGGAACTAATCTAGAATTAGGGTCAGTTCTCTTCATGCTGTGCTTTGGGCACACTTTCTTAGAATGGAAGGACGCAGCACCAAGAATATTAATTATATTCGTTTCTAGAAGTTGAAGTAAAGGGGAAGGTGTTGTCAGGCTTAGCCAGGACTGGCAGAGAATGGGTCCCCTCCCCGCCCCCCTAGGGTCCCTTAACAACCAATGCCCCTGAGCAAAGGCAGGCTTTTCAAGTTAGTCCTGTGTGCTGCCTTGGTACTGCTGCCTTCAGGACCAGGTAGGAAAGGTGGAAAACGCCCGACCTTGTCTTTTCCAAAGTGAGGGTAAAGCACAGCTAAAATAGACTCCTTGACTGGATTAGTAGCCTGAGCTGGATGGGTCTGTGAGAGACTCACCCACTCACCCTCTGCCTGAAGGCTGTCACGTGTTTGGATATCACTGAGCTGACAAACATGGATTTGCTTTTGATTAAAAACAAATTTCAACTTCGGAGTTTAAAGATCCTAACGGAGACTTACCAGACTGTTAAACAAAATTCAGTTTGGTTTCCTACTCAACATGAATTTGGATTTCATGTGTTCTGGAAGTATTTTTACACAAAGTCTCTTAAATTTAGTAATGGTTATTAAGGAGCAATGAAAACCAAGAGACTTAAGTAAAAAAACAAAACAAACAAACAAAAAAACCTGTATTGAATCTCCAACAAACAATTAGTCATAGATTAGACTGACCTAGAGGGCATAGAATTTGTAGCAGTTAACTAAATTTTTTCAGTCGAGAATCGTAGAAATAGATAAGATAGCAAAACACAAAACTTTTGATCCCAGTGAGGTACAGCTATATTGTGTGTTAAAGATAATCATAATTTTTTGAGCATTTGTCATATTCTGGTAACATGAGGGAATACAGCATCTTTCATAGTCATCCATTATGTACACTGGAGTTGTTTCCACTGATGACCATTCCATCCCACATCCAAGAATGTCTTATTTGTGAAGTTACACACTTGAATCTATGAATTCTTTGGTAATATCGCTGCCCTTCCGTATTTTCTATATGTCTACTTCTAAAAGGTTTAATTATTTAAAAAGCAGAATGATAGAGGGTGGGAGGGTAAGAGAGAAAAAAGTGCTTCCATCTGCCGGTTCACTCCCTAAATGCTTCAGAGGCTATTGCTAGGTCAGCTCAGGACCAGAAACCAGGAACTCATGCAAGTCTCCCACGTGGTCCTTGAGTCATGATCCACAGCCTCCCAGGTGCAATAGTCAGCAGCTAGATTGAAAATATAAAGACGCTGGGCCCGGTGCAGTAGTCTAGTGACTAAAACTCTCGTATGCACCGGGATCCCATATGGGTACTGTTTTGTCCTGGCTATTCCACTTCCCATCCAGCTCCCTGCTTGTGGGCTGGGAAAGCAGTATAGGATGGCCCAAAGCCTTGGGACCCTGATCCTGTGTGGGAGACCCGGAAGAAGCTCCAGGCTCTTGGCTTTAGAATTGCTCAGCCCCTCCCATTGAGGCCACTTGGAGAGTGAATCAGCAAACAGAAGATCTTTCTCTCTGAATCTCCTTCTCTCTATATATCTGCCTTTCCAATTAAAATAAATAATTTTTTTTTAAAGTATAAAGATGGTGAGACTTAATACAAACATTCCAGTGTGCAATAAGGCCATGTCTGAAGGGGTGCCTTCTCCCTCTGTGCCACGGGGCCCACCCCTTTGTACATGAAAGAGCCACCAGCAATCCATGCAAGGTACTCTGTTGTACAACTTACATACGATATGTATAATCTTAATAACCATCTTGTAAGCTGCATGTTGCAGATGGCGAGCTTGTGACTCAGAAAGGTCAGTTAGCTTGCCCAGTATTGCACAGCTTAATGTAAAGCATCATAACTATGATAAGTTCAGTAAGAAACGGTAACTGATGAATTAACTTGATCTTTGTTTTATGTGTGAGTCCAATTTTGATGGCCTATTAGTGTCTTGCTTGGAGATGGGGGGAAGGAGCGGGAAATTGTTATTTTCTTGTTAAAATGAACAAGCAGTTTGGTATGAGTAGTAGAAATGTGAACTTCCTGGCTGAATTGTAGCTATGAACAGGTGTTAGAAGTGATTAGTGGGGGATGGCCTAAGTCCTAAGCATCTGTTTTGCCTAGAGACTTCAGTAGGCATCTAAATGCTGAACTAAAAAGCAACAAATATCCCACATTTAAACAGCCTCCATTGCTGAGAATTTTCTGCAGCTGTGTTCTTCTGAGTTGGACCAGAAAGAGAATCTCCTTCCAGAGAGATACCAGTAAATGACAAACTGCACTCAGTTCAGAGAAGTTGAGAATAGCTTTGGACATGCAAGTAGCAGAGAAAGTAGTTAAGACCTCCATAGCCATCCCATATGCCATGGCTTCTTTCCATTCTGTATCCACTTAGACCTCTTTCTAGGCTTCAACCCCGGGATCTGTGTAGGCTGAAGGATGTTGGTCAGTGCTGATCAATAAGTGGGAATTATAAGGATCTTCTTCACTATGCCTGCCTGACGGGCACTTGCTCATTGGAAACCATTAATATTCAAAAGGCTGAATATTGACAAATCCTTACATATTGAACTAAAAATTTGGATCTGTTGTTATTAAAACAGCCAGATCACAGCAAAGGGATATTGTTCTTTATATCTCTAGTCAGATTCTCTGTTTGACAGAATTGTATTTGCATTATGGAAACATTTGCATTCAAATGACTTATTGAACATATCTAAAAGTGAAAGGACTTTTACTGCTCTACCAAAATGTCTGTGATTGCTTTAGGCATCTTGGTATTGACCTGTTTGTGAGCATGGCAACTGAAGTTGGCAGGAGAAGCCTGGCTTGACAAAAGCAGGGCATTCAGCTTAGCAGATGGAAGGCAGGGTCATTTTCAAAAGGAAATGAGTGCACAAATCACACTGTGGAGTTGGCATGTCCATCATGGCTGCTGTGATCAAGCGACTTTTATTTGGTCTCCAACAGGTATTTGGGGAATAGCTTAGATTTCCATTTGGGATGGGGGGGGTAATTGGAAATGAGATAATTTAATTAATGATAGAAAATCTGCAAAGCAGTGAACAGGATGGAATAGTATAAAGTATCATCAAGGATCATATTAATTGCAATATAATCTTGAAAACCTGCAGCATGAATCAGAAAGTAAGTCCAGACTCTTGCCAGTAATAAGAAAACATTTGGTATTTGCAAATAAAATAATATAGTGCCTCAGTGAAAGGAATTAGGCTCTCAGGAAATGGTTTAGGACTCAAGTGGATTTTGCAGAAAAGGGGGAAGCATATGTACTGCATAGAATTCCATGTAGGCACAGGATATATGAGTTAGAAGCATGATGTTTGATATGTAGCACATTTAAGTTTCTTCCTGCCAAAATTTGAGATGACCAAATCCCATGTCAATTCTATTGTGCAGCCTCTTCCAAAACAAGTTGGAAATGATTGTTTCTTATTTGTTTTGTAACAATAGCTACTGCTTGTTGGTAGCATTATTTATGAATAACTCAGCCATAGCCAAGGTCATATCCTTATCCTTGGTAAAGGTTGGTCTTCTGTAAAAATTATGTTCTGGTTATTATTTTTGTTTCCACTTCATTCTAAGTCATTTTATTTGGGATATCTCATTTGTGAGTCTGCATTTCCTTGCTGTCTCTGGACCAGGTTGAGTTTTGCCTCTGTGCATCTATAAATGATGATAGGACTACTACCACCTACTTCAACCTATACAATAGAATGGTCTGTAAAAAGGAGTTCGTAGTGCAAACACGGTTGTGGGTAATAGCACTGACATATTTATTCTCAGACTTAGGAGGAGTAGAGCTCTGATGGAGCTGTTACCCAAAATGACTTTATTTGAGCAGTTTCGATTGTCATTTCCAAGAGGCAAGAAATATTGAATTACCAGTTTTTTCCTTAAACACTGGTAGCTTTCATATCTGGTCTATGTCTGTTCTCATTTCTGCAATAAAACTGTGACCATAAACACATTATATGGTAGAGGTGTTTGACGCAAGTCCATAGTCAAAAATGAGATTCTGCCTCTGAACACATTTTCTGGCTTCAATGCTTCTACACTCTTTTTCCATAACAACAGCCACATATCCACCATGCCTTTGTGACCAGTCATTTCCCATTGTTTGAAATTACCTAGATTTTCATTTGGCTGTTGCCTAAGATGTTATCAGATCTGGTCTGTTTTCTCCTTTAGCCGTGAACAGTGACAACAGATTAAAATTATCTGGTAAAAGTTAATGACAGTGTTAGTTCCCTCTAGATAAGACCAGAATACAAGCTGGATGGTTAGTGCAGTCTAATTTCTGTACTGGATTTGGAGGCATTCTCAGGGCCTGTGGTGATGGAGACCAAGCCAGAGAGCAAACCTGGCTTTCAGACCTCCTGCCCCTTTGTACCTCATCTCTGACCAATGCAGTTCTGACAGTTCTGCTTCTGAAAAATGTCAACTTCGTTTACATGTCTCCAGTCTCTACTATGACTTCTGTGGGTTCTGCCACCATCCTCTCTGTCCTGGACAAATGTCTATCCTGCAACTCTTCCTAGTATCT